TTTTGATCGGCAATAAATCTATGCAAATAAAAAAAATCATAATTATTTACACTAAATCTACCAACGCCGGTCATATTGACCGTTTCAAACTTTGTGTATAACAGACATTTTTAGATATTTTAGACACTAATAATATTTCACTCTTTGATTTTAGTTATTTTATCCATTTGCCGAAAATAAATGTTATGTAGCCTAACTACCGCAGTCGGTCAATTTGAACGCTGTAAAATAATATTATTGAAATCAACCAAATGAATCAGACAAATTTAGAATAAATTTCTGGATATTGTGTGAAGTCAATAGTATTTATATAAAAAATGGGTTTTCCTATTTGGGAAATGACAAGATGAGAGATTGCTGAATAGTTCAATTGGATAGTTTGTTGTTCTAAAACTGATGAATTCATTCACAGATTTTTAAGGAATTTGTATAAATCAAATTTCATTACTCCCACGATGTATAAAAGTAAACCAAAAAAATGCATGTTGCAAGTTACCCAATATAAACGTGAGAAAGTAGTAAAAGTGTACCGAAAACAATTAGATTTTGTATTAATACATATTTTGATGAAAATGTGGCAGACCAGATGGCTAAGAAATGTAACATTTCAACATTTTGATATTAGCTGGATAAATGCATGAATTGTGTATAGAGAGACGAGTAAAAGCATTTTTAGGCACGAATTTTTGTTTTAGTTAATTTTCGAATTCGACTGACTATGCATATTAAAAATCTCAAGAAAATCTAAATTTTATCAATATTATTCTTAAATTCGGCTTTGTGCGGACGAAAGACTTATTAAATAAAATCTTGTAGAAGTTACAAAGCAACGAATATATTTACATCAAATGTACATTTTTTATGAAAATTGGTAAACAATGTGAGATAGCCGAATCAAGTATATTATGTATGCATATGGCATTCTGTATAAATATTTAACTTTATTTGTTTTTTTTTTCTAATATGTAACAAAATATAATATCTTTTAGAATTTATAGGTATAAAAATAAATTTAGATAAAACTTTATGAAGAATGAATTGTCGGTAGGTTTAGTGTTAAGCTATCAGCAGCATGTTTTTGAAATATATTGTAAACATTTCATAATACATACCCCTCACTCATAATAAATCCTTAGGTCATAAGTCTTGAACAAAATAGCTTATAGAACATATAAAGTAAAGAGCTCTGATTGCTCTTGAAACAATAATAAAAAAAAACCATAAACATAAAATGTTTCTAACCAATATTCAGTAGAGTATAACCTTTAACATGAGAAATAATTACAACAATATCAAATACAAACTTTCCGAAAGTTTTTTTTAATTAATTCAACAACTAATTCAAAAACTCATCGAATGCGACAACTTAAGGGCAATTTCCGCTATCAAAAGCGCATTCCATGAAAACTAGAAACACGGCCTGCGGCTAACGGTTAGAAGCTCGTTTGTTGTTCAAGAAAGAGAAAAGGTTAACCGATTGATGATAATGTTTCGTAAATATATGTAGGTTTTTATATTAAATCAGAATTCATGCAGCTGAGAATCTTCTTTAAATTTTGAAGAGATATAAATTGTCTTGTTCACATTTGCAATTGAAAGCACGGTTTAAAAAACTAATTATTTCATTTTTTTTAAATAGTACAAATAAAACTGTCATTAATTGCAAATTAAATTATGCTTGAAAATCGCCAAACAAGACGCGTATTATGAATGCATAAATCAATGTAATTTGATTACATTAAACTTTGAGCAACTATAATATTGTGAAAACCAAACCAATTACATATATCACAACAAATAACACATATATTTTGATATATCAAAGAAACAACTATCTGCAATGTTCAGTGAATCTGTCACTAATTCATCATCGTAGAAATGTGTTTTTTGCTGTTTTTCAAACATTCGAAACCCGGTCCTTTTTACCTCGTAGGAGCAGTGCTGGATTAACCCATAGGCCCATGAAGCCCGGGCCTAAGGTGGCACAATTTGGGGGGCGGCAAATTTTTCAGCATTTGAATTTTACACGACAATTCATTTTGAGGATTGATCCTATTCTTATAAATTTACGGATCATTTTCTATGAAATAGAGTTCGTTTTCTAATAAAACTTATTATTCATGGGAGCCACATTGATAACTTTATTGTTGTATTATGTTTAAAATCAAAATCATCAAATTGATAAGCTTTTTTTGAGAAACATTGACTCTTGTTCATTTTTTGTAACTTTGTCAAGGTAAATCTTACGTATAAAACGCTTTAAAAATGGTTCGATGGTTCTAATTTTATTTTCGGTATTAAATAAAACCATTGCGAATTAACATAATATATTAATTGTTATTTAGTGATCATTTAAAATTTAATTCTTTGTTTGTATATAATTCGTTTTTTTAATAAATCGTATAGAATAAAATTGAATCCTAAACTAAAATATTTAACAATTTGGTATGTCAATGTCCAACTTAAATAAAATTTTGATAAATATTAATGTTTTAAGACATTTTGGCTAAGCATAGAAAAAATGTATGCATGCAATTTTTCATTTTCGGAGGTACAGAGCGCAAAGGATGCCAAAATGCAGTTTTTGAGAGTATAGATCATCCGATTGGAATGATTCAAAAAATATTTTGATGGATATTTTTGATGAATTTTAAGAGTCTGAAACCCTGATGTTTATAATCAAAAAATGTTTCATGAAAATCGTCGAAAAAATTGTTTTAACAGTTAATTACAAGAAAATAGTCCAGCCTATCTTCAACAAAAACAGATCAGTACAGTGCCAACCAATATCTTTCAAATGGCCTTTGAATTTTTAAAATCGATTCTGAATTTTGGGCTAAAACGTGGTCGAAATATTTGGTCATAATGACCATAATTTCACCAAAGCTCTAAGCTGCACTTAAAAGCTCATAATTTGCAAAAAACGTGAAATAATTTTGTAACTTCCCGTAGGGCAAGTTATAGTAATCGCAAAAAATCGAAAATCTAAATTTTTATATATCTTTACGTTTCAAAGGTTTCTGAATATTTTGGCATACCTTAGAAAACATGGATGCATGTGTGTATGTGTGGGTGTATGTGTGTGTGCGGATACAAATTTTCGTCGACGATTTCGGGAACACCGATCAACCAATTTGAATAACTCAAAAAACATTCGATTCGTATTGATAAGGAGACGTGCTGATTAGTTTTTGGCGGAGGCAGGTCTAGCCGTTCCAAAGATACGGGGCAAAAGGTGCCAAAAATGGTAACTCAGTTTTTAAGAGAACGGAGCGTCCGATTTTAATAATTCAAAAAAGATTTTACTTGTGAGATGAAGAATTGATCAAATTTTCATGAAGGCAGATCTAGCGGTTTCGGAAATCTAATGAGAAAAGTAAAAAAAATGCCATTTGGCGGTCAAAAATGATCATTAGACATATGCACATCAAATTAGCAGATATTTTATAGAGATTTTAGTAGTAAGTATAAATTTTGTTTACATTCCTATGAGTTCCGTACCAATGCTCATCCGTTAGACGCTGCCGCGGCGCTTACGCGCTTTGACATTTCGTCTCTATGCAGTTAAAGCAGTACGATGGCTTTGAAAAAAAGTTCAGAATTTTCAAAATATGTTAAAATAAAAAACACATTTTTTTTCAAAAAAAAATTTTTTCAAAAGAAGTAATTTTTTGTTTCTCAAATTTTTTTTTTTTTAAGTAAATTTTTTTAAAAATGTTGATCGTTTTTAAAAAAATAATAATTTTTGGTACGGAAAGTTCCAACAATTCGCCCTAAGGCACGATGCCATGCGCCCCACTAGTTTTGAATTTTTTTCAGGGCAGTTAAGGTCAATGCTAACACCTCGGTTCGTTAAGTTCTCGGACACCCTGTATATATGCACAAGAAAACAGATTCATTTAAATTTTCTTAATTGAGTTTTCCAAATAGTCTAATGTGAATGAATCATAAAAATGTTAGTAAAATTATAAAAATCTCATAAGCCACTTAAAAAACTACTGTTTTGTTAGTCTGTAGCTAAAAGTGACAATGATGATATATTTACAAGCTGAGCTAATATGCCAATATTTGTCTTTTATATTTACCATTAAACAATTAGATTGATATTAAGTTATCACATAATAAATCCCTATATAAATCGTATCATAAACGCACGAAAACACTTAAAACTATTGCTTGCAGTAGCTCAAAAAATTGAAAACGGCACCGTTCTAATTGTAATTGATATATGTATTTATTAGTAATTTATTTTATAGAAACTATTATATAACTTGTATAATTTGCAATAATTAACGATATGGTGATAAATAGTATAATTACAATATCATATATTTACAAAACACGATGATGCAGATCATCTGTCAGATATCTGTCACATAAGAGTGTGCACGTTGTGTGTCACGTGATAGTACACGAGCTACTAAGAATTGCGCGCTCCAATGCTACAATTAACATCTTGTATATGTTTGTTACAAATTACTTCATGAGAAACTTCAAAAACATATTTCAAATGTTGTTAGGAATGTGTAATACTAGTACTACATGAATCTGATATCACAAACTAGCCTTCAACACTGGCCCTATAACGACCTTGGGTCTTATGGGAAGATTTTGATACATATTTTACAAAGTCATGCTTACAAACCTGCAATTGAGTAAATTGTCCATAATGTCACTGTATGCAAACTATAAAATCCTATTGTACATAATAAACATTTGACGTACTCCTAGGAAATGCATTTCTCACAAAACAAAAATCATGTTTATTGATCACATATTTTAATAACTTCTACCACATTATATTATAAAAATAATATTGAAGAATAATCACGATCACGATTTAAAAATCAGGAGTCTTTCCAAACTGCACTGGTCCAATTAAAAACGCATTCTTATTAGGTTCCAGTAACAATATTATTGACAGTCGGTCAAGTTGTCATATTTGTCATTTGATACTTGTAATGACACGCAGTTTGACAATTGGCAAAAGCATACAGGTAGTTGTTGCCGTGAACGAAAGAAGAAATCTGTTTAATGATTTTAGGTTTATAGAAACATTTGAGTAAACATGGTTTTTCAATTGTTTGAGAAAAGTAGCTAAACACTCATGTTATCGTAAAAAAAGTTCTAATTTATAAGTATATAACATATAATATAGGTTAGAGATTACCATGAATTTTTTCGATAGAAAATTCACGCACATTTTATATACATGGCTTACAACAGTTTTTTACGTAGTAAGTATTTATGTTTCCACCTAACCACAAGATTACGACTTTATTTTACTCATAATGTTTTCCTTCTAGTTACGTGTTGCGTCTTGTGACAGTTTTTCTGGAGGAGATTATTCAGAAGAAGAAAGTATACCCAGGATGGCAAGCTTCCCCAATATGCAGTATGACGCGCCAGTTCAACAGCTTGTTGATGTAGAAAATACTTTATCTAGTCTTAATTTTTGTAAGAGGTTTGTGGTATAATATTATAATCATATTTATCAATATTAATCCTTCATTTCTATCCATGCAGCACCCACATATGTTCCTTCATGGCCGAAGATTTCAGATTCATTAGGACAAGTATCAGCAGTTAGTTTGGATTCGTTTGGAAATGTGGTCTTATTTCATAGAGGAAGTCGAAAATGGGATGCAGAATCATTTAATAAAGATGAAATATTTCTACAGCAGAATTTAGGACCTATACCTGAAAACACAATTCTTGTTCTCAATTCAACGACCGGGGATGTTTCCTATGAATGGGGATCTCATATGTAATAATGATAATTAATATGTTTAATTGAAATCGACATATTATACTGAATATAAGTTTTCATCTATCACAAACAATTACAAGTACACCTAAGTCTGTTTTTACACAGTCTTTTTGTACACGGTTTTGATATAACCCGGTTTGAAAATTGAATATTTTTAATTTTTTTGCACGACTTTATTCCATTTAGCACGATTTGAAATTTTATGTACTTAAATTTTTTTGTCAAATTTAATTTTTGCGAATAATGTTCATATCACAAAAAGTATTTATGAAAGAAAAAAGTTTGAAACCATCGATAGTGTCGATAGTTTGCGAACACTAGCTTAAAGATTTAAGTAAATTCTCCTATGGTGCGTACAATTTTTACTGGTCAAAGCAAATGTGAATAGCACTAATTTAGGGGAATTATTATTAAAATGAACATGAATTCTTGTTCTTGAAAATTCTTGTTTTTCACTAATTTTAATAGGTTTTAGAGAGTAGGACAAATCACCCATTTTTGTATAAGATCAATGTCTTTTTTTACACGTTTTTTTTTTACACGATTTCTTCTGGAACCAATCTCCGTGTAAAAACAGACTTAGGTGTATTTATATTATAAAAGCTGATAGTGCATCAATGTATAATTATTATGACTGAAAAAAAATGTGATTTATAACCAAATCAGATTATAAAAGAATTATAGTCAAATCAGGATTATATTATAATGCAGACGATATATATTTTGGTAAATGTGTTTTTTTATGTTTAATTACAGGTTTTATATGCCACATGGTTTAACAGTAGACTACTTCAACAACATTTGGATAACTGATGTCGCCTTACATCAAGTAATGAAATTTTCATTCAATGCTTCTACCTCTACAAAACCATCCCTCACCTTGGGAAAAAAATTTCTTCCTGGAAATTCTCTGGACAGATTTTGTAAACCTACATCTGTCGCAGTGATGAGATCTGGTGACTTTTTTGTGGCTGATGGATATTGTAATTCGAGAATTATGAAATTCTCTATGAATGGGGAATATCTAACTAGCTGGGGAAAATCTACCAGAAACGGTAAAAACAAATGAGAAATAATTAATTATTGTATTCTATTATTAATATTTTTGTTATCAAATTAAAACTGTTGTTGCTCAAAATGACATATTTCCATACAATGTTTGTAGTGCTAAAATTATTCTTTCCAAGCTCATATACATTAAATAAATTTCAGATGATAGAAAGCCACCACCTTATAATTTTAGAATTCCACATGCTTTAGCGTTAGCTGAAGATAAAGATATGCTTTGTGTTGCTGATCGTGAAAATGGTCGCGTTCAATGCTTTAATGCAATCAATGGTAGCTACATTGAGAAGTTTCAACATCCAATTATTGGACAAAGAATTTTTAGTGTGGCATATTCCTCTGTTAATGGTAAAATAAAATATTCCATCTTATTTTATTAGGAGTAACCAAATAAATTATTCAGGAGGCCAATTGTATGTTGTTAATGGGCCAAATTGGATGCCATACTATAATTCTGTTCGAGGATTTGTGATAAACATGACATCTGGCAAAATTGTATCGCAATTCCGTGCTGGTAGTAAGGACTTTCAAAATCCACACGATATAGCGGTTTCAAGGTAATAAATAACAGGTTTATATTTATCATATTTCCATTATTTGTAAGAGTTATTTTTTTATTAGATTAATCTATATTGATTAGTTTTGAATAAATGTTATGATGATAATTACCATTCAAAGTTAAAATAGAAATAACATTTGCTAAAACAAAATGACATCTTCTCTATTTTTGATTTCTATATATTACAACCAAGCTATAATTTTTAGTAGAGTCATTTGTACAGCTTTTTTATGTCTATTTATAGTGATGGAAAACAGGCTTATGTAGTAGAAATTGATCCTTACGTCATTCATAAGTTTGAAGATAATACTTTGCCTAATGCTTCTGTTCCAACTAACTTCCAACTGCAGACAATAGAATCTGCAAAACCGACTGCAACTGTTGGTTAGTATTGCACTTATATATAGAAATTTACTTTGTTTAAATAAAAAACTGAATTGCCTAATAATTCTTTGTAGATAAACAATCATCAGTTATCTCTGCAATTAGCTTCTCTGATACAGCTATAAACAAAGGTCCAACAGCAACATTTTTGATAATTGTTACAGTACTAATCATTTTAACAGCTATTCTGCTTGGCATTGCGGCATTGATATCCCGACACTTAAAACGAGGTAGGCATAATATTGATAATGTTGCTGAATATTCTAAGCTCATGACTACAGTTGATGACGAGTGAAAGTAGAATAAAATAATTTTCATTATGAACTTAAAAACTTTAATAATACAATTCCATTAACTTCAAAATAGTGCTGTGATTAGAATTAAGTATTTATTTAATTCCAATGACTTATGCAATTCTATGCAGATACAATTTATGTTTACATCACCTGAATCTAGTTTTTTATTGCTACATTTATTATTAGCATTAATATTTGTTATTATGTATGTTATTTTAAAAAACCAGTGGTACTTATTACGACTATTACTTAACAGAATTTAAAATAATGTGTAATTTTTATATTGATTTTTATTGTAATGTTTTGTTTAAACTTATTTGTTTTATTTTTTTATTTATTTTATATATATTATTTTTTATTTGTAAGTTGTGATACATGAAATATATTATTTTATTTATTATATTTGTTTTTATTTTGTTTTGGTCTTATTTATATTGAGTTGAGACTTACTTAAAAGTCTATAAGAATATTGCAAATGAATATTAGTGATGTGCCAATTCGAATCAAGCCCGTAACAACCTGATTTCAATCTGTTTTGAAACAATTTTACTCGTTTCGAATTGATTTGTATCAAGTCGAAAAATATTTACTTTGATCTCTTACACCAGACAATTTGTCTGACGGGACATAATGTGTAAATTAACATTTTTTAATTATCTCTTTTTTTTATTTGAAAATAAAAATTAAATACAAAATTAAAACAAAAAATCTGATGCAAGTAAAAATTAACCGAATCCAACTTATACAATTTAACCAAATCATTCGACCTAATACGACTCATACGAGTCATTCGATTTCTAAATCGAATCAAAGGACACAAATGCGGCATTGCTCTTCGCCAGTTTATCAGACGGAGCGCTAAGAGCGTGTCCGATCGTGAAATATTAGTTAATTAATTAACTTAAATTTGTTACTTAAGTTTGTTACAAAGACTATAAATTAATTCAATAGATTCTGAACATTTCTTTTTCTCTCATACATAGTAGATTATGAAATTAGTGTTTCGAGAAAAGTGACAAAATAGTGGTGTATGGCATTGTGCCTTAAGGCATATTGCAGGAACTTACCGTACCAAAAATTGAATTTTTAAAAAAAGATTAAATATATTTTAAATTTGAAAAAATTAGATTTTTGAAAAAAAAAACTTTTGAAAAAAAATGTTTTTTTTTAGTTTACAATATTTTGAATTTTTTTTTCAAAGCAATCGCACTGCTTTAGCTGTATAGAGAGGTAATATCAAAGCGCGTAAGCGTCGCGTCGCCGTCTAACGGACAAACGATGTTACGAATCCCATAGAAATGTAAACAAAATTGATACACATTATTAAAATCTCCATAAAATATCTGATAATTTGATGTGCATATGTCTAATAATCTTTTTTTTTAATTATTTTTCATAGCAAGCTATACAAAGTACATTCAGCTACATTTGTTAGAGTTATATATTATTTTACTGCGTGATAAGGATCGCTATCCTGCGATAGCGCCTTCATAGATGTTATGTTATATTTTGTAGTAAATCATTGCAGATTCTTTTTTTGAGACGCTTGGGTGGTAAAGGCTTGAGCAGATCTAACGCTAATACGTTTAGATGACGACTTAGACGAGCTTTGTATCTGGTGCAGTAAAGACTAATTTCTTCTTCTATAGTTCGAATTCTGAGATCTTGATGTATCAACCAATTGGGAACGTATTTTGCAGCGTTTACGATTTCTTTCAAAATTTTATTTTGGAACCTTTGTAGAATAGTTATGTTCGATTTACTGATAATTTTTGACCTCAAAATGGCATTTTTTTACATTTTTTACTAGAATTCCGAAACTGCTAGACCTGCCTTCCCAAAAATTTAATCTTGTCAATACAAGTAAAATGTTTTTTTGAATTATTAAAATCGGACGCTCCGTTCTCTTAAAAACTGAGTTACCGTTTTTGGCACTTTCTGCCCCGTATCTTCGAAGCAGCTAGACCTGCCTATGCCAAAAACTAATCAGCACGTCTCCTTATTAATAGGAATCGAATGTTTTTTTTGAATAATTTAAATCGGTTGAACCGTGTTCCCGAAATCGTCGATGAAAATTTGTATCCGCACACACATACATCATTTTTTTCTAAGGTATGCCAAAATGTGCAGAAACCTCTGAAACATAGATATACAAAAATTTTCATTTTCGATTTTTTTACGATTACTATAACTTGCCCTACAGGAAGTATAGGTAGCAAGGAGAACCGACAATTAGCCGACAATAAGCCAAAAACTTTAAAAGTATTTCATTTTTTTGTTATAATTTATTTTTGTCAATCAAGACGTATATATTATATAGAAAGTATTTCATGCTTTCAATATAATTATTCAATTTCAAATATACATTTGAAAAATTTATTTGAGCAGGTCGTCGCAACCGGCGACGCGTGTGGGATTTGCCCACCAATTCGAGTGCCGCAGTCAAGTTCAGCCATCTGATCGAAAGGCGTTCACGATCACGCAACGGATTCGAAAAAGTGAACACGGAGGAAAGTGACGACGAAGCAAATTCAGCTACTAGCATGCTAGCTGCCCCCCAATTTGCTTAATTGCTTAACACATATTTTACATTTTATAAAGCCAAATAAAAACTCTTATCAATTTTTTTCAATTATGTGCCTAAACTACTGAACAAGAGTATCTTCAAGATTTTACTTTCAATAACAAGAAGTAATTAATGAATTTTTATTGATTTATTTATATCATGCCAACAGCTAGTTTTGACTTGCTGAATTAATCTTGTCACAATTTTTCAGTAGTTTAGATTTATGTTCCAGATCAAGGAGATCACAATCAATGAACATTTTGCTTCCATTTTTTACTATGCCTGGGAAATGTCTGTATAAGAAACTGAAAGACCAAACAAAGTTGTTTATGTATTGAGTAGGACATTGTGTTACTTATAATATCAATACTGAAGAAGTCTCAATTCAATTCAATACATGAATAAACGGTAAGAGTTGTTCGAGAAATAGAGCCGTAGACTATACTAATGGAAAAAATTTCATACGACTTCTAAATTAAAATATGTTGATCCAAAATTTCTAATGGTCAAATATCTTAAAAATTAAACTGGTTAATTTCATTCACAATCAAATATAACGATTTAAATTATTCGTCTCTAAAGATTACACTTTCTGAATCTATAGTTTTTGTAAAAAAAAAATTAAATTATTATCTTCGTCAATTTATAATTTAACTGTCATTATGGATGTACATATATATTACACAATATGCTATGAAAAAATTTAAACAAATTTGTATTCAACAATATGTGAAATTAAGTCATGTTATTAAAATTCACAAAATTAGATATTGATTTGTCGTTTCTTTAAAAACATTGCTCTGAATCAATATGTCTATATATTAAATATATTTTTATAAACTTGGAATATTTCTGTGCGTTGCTGAAAAATATTTATCATAAAGACAAAATATATGTCTTAGGATCCAGCCAAAAAAATAATTATATAACAATTCAACATATGTAAATAAATCTTGTAAGATTTTTCAGTGTACATAAAGAAGTAACCAACGAGCTTAAATTAAATGAAGTCTTCATAATTGAGTACTTCCTTTTAAATTTATTAATATATTAGATTATTATTATGACATCGCATTGCAAAATAAATTTTTGTATAATTGTTCATAATATGTTGTAAAGTATGTATCAAAGATTTTATTATAAAAATAACATAGGATCAAAATATAAATTTGTTTTAATCACCTTCAAATATTTATGAGACACATAAGAAAATAATTATTATGAATTAAATTAAGTACATAACACCTTAAATGAAATAATTAAAACTTTGATGTCAATAACTCGCATTCAGTATTTTGGATTCAAAATAATAATTGTATTTCATATTAAAAACTGGTTTGATATAAAATGTACTATACGATTTATAAAGACAGAACATTTGAATTAATTTTAGATATAGTTCCATAAATATTATTTACATCCTGTGATTATTATTATTTACAGTATTCATTACAATGCTAATCATTTACTTTATATATATATATATATATATATATATATATATACACCTAAGTCTGTTTTTACACGGTAGATTGGTTCCAGAAGAAGTCGTGTAAAAAAAAAAACGTGTAAAAAAAGACATTGATCTTATACAAAAATGGGTGATTTTTCCTAATCTCTAAAACCTATTAAAATTAGTGAAAAACAAGAATTTTTAAGAACAAAAATTCATGTTTATTTTATTAAATCAAATATATTATGCTTATTTTCACAAGCATAGTAATTAATGATAAAAAAGATATGCACTCTAATCTTTAAGCTAGTGTTTGCAAACTATCGATACTATCGATGGTTTCAGACATTTTTCTTTCATAAATACTTTTTTGTGATATGAACATACTTTGCAAAAATTAAATTTGACAAAAAAAAATTCAGTACATAAAATTTCAAATCGTGCTAAATGGAATAAAATCGTGTACAAAAATTAAAAATATTCAATTTTCAAACACTGTTATATCAAAACCGTGTTCAAAAAAACCGTGTAAAAACAGACTTGAGTGTATATATATATATATTTATATATATATATATATATATATATATATATATATATATATATGAAGAAATATTAAGGCACTATGCTATTACAACATAATTCCAGAATAAAATTTCATTGGTCATTTATTTTGAGGTTTAAGTTTCAAATTTACATGGTGTTATTTATCACATTGTAAAAGAAAAAACAAATAACCATGTACACTACAATACAGATAAATATGTAATGATAATTACTTAATTAATAATTTATATTAATTGAATAAATAAATACATAAATTTATCCTTGTATACATGTAGACACTAAAATTGACCTCAAAATATTTTAGATTCAAAGTCAGATATAATTTTATTATATCAAATTAAGTTATTAAAAGTATCTAACTTACTTTTATGGTTTAATGGCAGTTAAGATTTGATTTCTTGGTGATAAAATTGGGTCAAATACTGGTATTATATCAGAAATTGTACCTGAAATATATAAATATGTACATAATAAGTATTTTAGTAATCCTATATAAAAATATTATAATTATATTTACCCAGTTCCTCAAGAAAAATCAGTCTATCTAACAATATAATAGTC